CTAAATGTTCAAAAAATCTCACACTAACGAATTAATCTTTAAATCTTCTTTAATTTGTCGCATCTACTTGCATCGTGCATCATCTTATTGCAGGAAAGCTTCACCAACAAATACCAACAAAAAGTTTATAAATTTATAATAGGTTAATAGATCAACGATTTTTAAACATGCGCATTCAATCTCGACGACTTCTAGTTCTGCATGTCAACGCCTTTGGCTCTCCTTTCTCTCATACAGGCATGGAAAATCATTTGCATTCAATTACATTCATTTGTCCCTAACTTTTTTCATCAACGGAATTCCGCAAAATAAAATCGATGTTTTGTAGGCTTTGTTATAAGCTACAACTTTTGTTAACAACTCAAATCCGTATCTCTTATGCATCACGAACTAGAGCGAGCAGAACTTGCTACTGTTTTTCAGTGAATGTATTTTACATTCACTGAAAAACAGTAGCAAGTTCTGCTCGCTCTAGTTCGTGATGCATAAGAGATACAGATTTGAGTTATGGGCAAAAGTTGTAGCTAATAACAAAACCTACAAAAGCTCTTTGCATTATTTTGCGGAATGCTGTTGATGAAAAAAGTTAGAGGCAAATGAATGTAAATGAATGCATGAAATGAATGTAAATGATTTTCCATGCCTGATCCTATGCATCTACGAAGAATCAACTAAGCACTCATTTATTTGGCAGATTTCAATCGACTCGCATATTTTTGTAGACTTTATGCTTGATTATGTGATTATTATGTTACATATTACCGTATATCAAAAATGCGGGATGATGAGGGACCATCAGGGCACCCAATTAAAGCGATTTGGATGGAGAGAGTGAAGATATCTACTCCCTGTTGCTAACATTTCTTGGATAAAGGGCGGGCTCTTCTCCCCCATTCATTGGGGCATCTTCCTGTTGGATGGCTCGTTTACTGACCAATTGGCTGATCAAGTTGTTGGAAGGAGATTCATAACTGTCCCAAGGAAATGAAAAGGCGAATTGCCATTCATTTTCGACCCTTCATACAGCGATGTTGCTGATGACAATCAGAGGTTATTAAGCTTGATCAAGTTCAGCAGTGAGGAGAGCCCACAGCTATCGGACTAGTTTCCGTGCTACAATGAGTGGAAGACCACTATCATCAACATCATCATCATCACCGTCTCCAGCAAAAAGTAAATAAATTTGATCAAATGCTGTCCTGCTACGATTTTTGTTAATTTTGAAGGGCAGCTATGGAAACGTTATATCTAGATAGAGCTGTATTTAAGGCGTAACAGGTTTTGTAAACATTGAATTCTCTCGTTGATTTCTATGAACTCAAGGCACGCCTACACAAACCAACATTCCATCGGATAGGGGAAGTCTTCCTCTACTCGATAGTGATGTCGATTTGCCAGGGAGAGTCATGACTTTCGAGAAACCATCGAGAGAAGTAATTGTTTACAAAAGCTGTTACGCCCTAATTCCAGCTCTATCTAGATATTAAAACAATAAAAATGCTTCTTAAATCTGGAAGCTTCATTTAAAACCTTCTTTAGAATTTTATTTTAGAAACTTATTCTAGTAGACCTTTCGCTACTTATCCGTTTTGCCAAGAAAGACCTTTCGAAGCCTGTTTTTTTCCTTGGTTTGTTTTCCGTCGATCTTGTCATCAACTCATGAACCGGGGACCAACGGCTTTACTTCCCTTAGGCGTGATCAGAGATGTTATGCCTCAGAACATCCCGGCGGCGCCAACTGGGATTGAACCCAGGCCTGCTGGGGTGAGAGGCAATCACGCTTACCACTACACCACCGGCGCTGCTCGATTTCGAAGCCTGTTATCTGGATAGAATCCTCGTTTTGCCTTTCAAAACAAAGTTACTTTCCCCGCCAACCCCTGAGTTAGAGCGCTGATCGTTCATTGGCGGCACAGGTGCTAAAAAGTGTTGTTATCTGGTCTTAGTTGGGATGATGAAGCGGTAGTTTTCAGAATTTCTGTATAGGAACGATGAGACCTAGCTTCCAAAGATCACTCGAGTTTCTTGCTCTGTTGTTTGTACTGTGAACAATATGAGATCGATGAGAAGTCTGCACCTAGGCTGACCTAGCAGGTTTGCAAATTAAGCGCTATAATCAAGCGAACTTTTCAATCCAATCTGGACCTTCTGTAGGGTTCCATACTACAGCATATCTTTGCAGGCCACACTTGCCTCGGTAACCTCTTCTTCAATTTTTATATCGCGAGGGGGATGTAGATTGATCAAACACTCACAGGCAACAATTTTGACACTGAACTCAGCGGGATACTGCTAAATATTTAGATTTTTTGAGAAGTCAGCAGTATCGCACAATACTTCGGTAATCACTCCTTCAATACCCACATTGTACTTAGGGGCTGTTCATTAACTACGTAGACAGTTTTTTGGGATTCTTGACCCCCCCCCCTCCCCCTGCGTAGACAATTTCCCATACATTTTTTTTAAATGTGTATGAGCAGTAGATAATTGCCAACCCCCCCCCCCCCCTTAAACTCTGTCTACGTAGTTTATGAACAGCCCCTTAGGAATGCAGACGCGATGGTTTTTGGAAACACGCCTACAGGCCTAAATATTGAATCTAAACACAGGTAAATTCAGCCCAGTAACTAGATTTTCAGGGTCCTCCCTTAGCTCACTCGGTAAAGGCACATCTACGAAGTAAGACCATGCTGGAGGTTTCTGGGTTCGATTCCCAGTCCGGTCTAGAAATTTGTCGAATTGGAAAGTTTCTCGACTTCCGTGGGCATAGATTATGATTGCATTTGCCATGCAATTATACTAATTCAAAAATGGTACAGGCATCGAAAGCTCTCAATTAATAACTGTGAAAGTGCACCTAGAACACTAAGTTGAGAGCACACAATATGCTAATATGCGATAAGCTTGCAATGCGAAGAATAAGAAGAAGAAGAAGAAGAAGAACTAGATTTAAAAGGGGGAAGATTCCCCGTCAATCTTACTTCGCTAACCGATTCTTCAATGTCCACTCTGTGAATGGGGGTGAAGACTCAGTACTCCACTGAAAAATGCTGTGAGCACCTTTTCTCACGAGAAGCACAGTTCGTTTGGCTTTACATATTCGAAAAATCAACGTGCGAAAGTTTGGTTATCGAACTTTTCTCACATCCTACCCAACTAAAATAAACGATTCACAAAACGTAAAACTCGAATCCACTCGAATTTGAAAGCCTCCCATACCCAACTGCCAACTTGTCCAGCCCTCACCCATTCCAGTGCTTCATTGGCCTCGTTATCGTCCGTAAAACACACAAATTCACCTACTACAACTGAAACAAACAGCACAATCGCCACGGGAGCCCAGAACTGCCTGCCTGATAGTTAATTCGACAGGGGGCCAACGTCGAATCCTTGTGCACGGCTGCCCTCTTCAAATACGCACCGATGTTGACCCCCGTGCCCTGAACCGAACGCTCTCGACCACACTATTTTATTTCTTCGACAAAAGTTCCAACCGGAGCAGCAGCTGGCAGAGATGAGGCGACATACCTACTTGATAATGGCTCTTAGTTACATTGTAAAGCACTCGATTTAATCTACTGTGAGGCATTGTTTTCCCGCACAGCGTGTGGGTGGGCATTTTCCAAGCATAAACTTTATGCAAACTTGGGTCGGCAGTTTGTTATCGAAAGTGACAAGTCCACAAGGACAAGTGTGCTGTGTGCGAAAGCAAGCAGGCAAGCAAGCAAAGAAAGTCTCTCGGATGTGGGTGGATTCTGTGGTGCGAACGATGGCCTGAGTAAATATCTGCGTAGGTGGCAAGATAATTAACAAATTTCATAGCCTTCAAGGTATGGGTTCTGTGGATGGCAGTTACCGATTGGAATTGTAGGAGGAAAATTTTACACAGGTGAACTTTGATCTGTAGGGGTTGGATCTAATTTTCGGCCTACTAAGCACAAGCCGCACTTCAGCTCTCTTTTTCGAGCGGATGTTTTGGCAAAATGGAATGTTTCTACTACAGATGACTGCTAAATTTATTTACTTTTCCATATGTATACCGTTGGATTTGATAGAGTCACGAATTTGTTAATATTTTGTAAAAAGTACCACACTGCTTCTTGGTTCCATATTCGGCCTACGGGTTTCAATTTCGTACAAACACATAGGAATGTCATTGGATGGCAAAAATGGAATGGAAAAATATATTCACTTGGAGTGTTTCATTTGTTCTTCAGAACAAGGAGTGTAAATATGGATACTTTGCGCTCTTGAAGGCTTTGTGTTGTATATAGCTTTTGAACTAACCAGCGGCTAAAAATCATTAAATTAAAAAAAAATATAAAAGGAAATTAGAACAAATAGAAAAGTTAAAAAAGTGTTTGAACTAAATTATCGTACCAAGCGTCTAATTGAATCGTTAACGCCGACATCATAGATATGTTTGATGCATTTTTCTCGATAGGACGCAAATGGGCGATTAGGCCGAACCAAATATTTACCCCATTCACTGACGTTGTGGATATGATAAAATTGTTATTCGGCTCCGTAAAGCTAACAGCATTAGTGTCATAACAAAAGAAGTTTGTCTCATCTCTCAGGGGAAATGGAACACAAAAGCAGCTCCGTTAAGTTGAAATCCCATACAAACAGTGTTTGCCATCTTCTACTGCATCAGTTTTCCGTCATGTAGCATGCAAGACCTGTATCGTTTCCAGCGATTGTTGATGCGGAAAGATTACCTTTCCAACCTTGTGGTTTGACTGCTGTAAGCTACCACCACCACCACTACCATTCACAGTCACTAACTTTACGACATCCGCAAAGGATTAACTGAGGGAGATGCCTACCGGGGGCGGTGCAGTTTACCGTATCCAAATAAAAGAATATCCCTGAACTGGGAAAAAAGCGAACATGGAAAATTTATTCGATTCGCTCAGCTGCTTCGTTTCGTATTTATTTTGCAAGTCGAATCAAATGCTTCCGACTCATGCCATCTATCTTGTACTTCTCCCTTACAGAGGCTCAGGTGAACGAGAGTTGCTTCTTCACCGAGCAATGCGAGCAGATGACGGAGCAAACGGAGTGCCGCGACGGACGATGCATCTGCCGCTTCGAGATGAACCCCATCTTCAAGCCGGACGGAACGGTCGAGTGTCGAGGTAAGTTTCGGAGGTTAGCCCAGATGAAGTGGAAACTTTGAAATACCGGCCAAGTATAGCGGCATTATTTCGGTGATTCTTCTTCAATTATAAAGTTTTTCAATTTCCTATCTGATTGAACGCCAGGTGTATTTGGAATAAATCTTCTGCGAGATCGACGGAATGTATTACCGCTACTTTTTAAAGAACGAGCTAGAGTGTCAATATTTCAGATTTATAACGGTCTTCTACGAAGTCAAGGGCAATTTGTAATAGTAGAGACAACATCATTTGTTATTAGAAAACTTCACTAAAACTCAGGTAGCTTGGTAGAACGTCGAGGAATTTCGCAGAACTCTAGGAAACTTCGAAAAACTTCAGATAACTACGTAGAAATTAAGGGCTTTTTTTGAAAGTGCAGTAAATTTTGTAAAACTTCAGCTAACTTTGTAGAAGCTCAGCAAGTTTTGTAGAAGTTCAGATAAAGTTGTACAAAGTCGATCATACCGAATCAAAATTGAATCGATTCGACTCAATTTTGTCAAAAGTGAGTAGAATTTTCCGGGCTTGTCCTGTAGAAACTTCCCGAATTTTATGAAATTCTATAGAGGTTTCACTCAGTGTATAAGTATACTCCAAGACTCAATTTTGGGTCGGTTTGATCGACCGTTTAGAAGTTCATCAAACTTTGTAGGCATTTCATAGAAATTTGTAAAATATTGTTGAAAATCAGGGAACTTGTTACATGTCCAGGGAACTTCGCAGAAATTCGTAGAACTTCAGAGAACTTCAAAGAACTTCGTAGAAATTAAGGGAACTTTGTAAAAGATTGGATAAATTCATAGATGTTAAGAGAACCTTCGTTTAGTTACAGGTATCATCAGAAAAGTTCGGGAGTCTTGCTTAAACTTCATGCTACTTCGTTGAAGTTTAATGGACTTGGAATAGGTCAGAGAATGTCCAGGAAGCTTCGCAGAACTTTAGGGAACATCGCAGAAAAACAACGACGTTCTATAAAGTCCTGGGAACTTTGTAGAAGTACAGTGAATTTCATTGTGGTTTAATGAATTTTGCAAAAGTGAATTACGTAGCAATCAGCGAAACTTCTTAGAGCATTATAGAAGTGCAGGGAATTTTGATAAAGTTCAAGGAACTTTTTAGAAGTTCGGTAAACTTTGTTAAAGCTCAGTAAATTTTGTAGAAGCCAGGTAAAACCACAGATGCTCAGAGAATATCCTGGGGGACCTGCTCTTTATTGATATTCTGAGCAACTGATCAAAAATTCAAATGTCATCTCCCAGATATTCTTCCTTAGATGGCAGGTTGATCGAAAAGTATTCGAAAGATCTTCAGGTTTCTAGCTAGTTTTCAAGACTTCACGTTATTTGCATATTGTTCTGAAGATCTCCAGCTGTTCAAAAATTAAAATGAGCCTTTAAAATATCCTTAGGGAGTGCTGAAAAGATCTCCAGCTGATCCAGCTGATCCAGTTAAGTCCTCTGGTAATTTTCTCAACACTTCAGGATGATCGTGTATTATGCTCAAATTGCTCAAATACTCTGACAAGGTCGATTTGGTATTATTCTGCAAAACAAAACACTGATTTTGATTGATGAATTTAAGTGACGGTCGACCAGTAGATGAAAATGATGTGGAAAATGATTATGACGTTTTGCTACCTGTCTAATCGTATCGAATATTTTTTAGAACATCATCATTTTTGTATTTGCAAATCTGAAAACTAGGTGTCGCATGGCCAGTTTTCCTTTGCTTAAAATCATCAATTGGGTTGTTTATCTTTGAAAAATATACCGATATACATCATCTGATAGAGCTTCGTTTTCTGAGCACAACTGTATTTCTATCGATCCCGTAGACATTCATCTCGGTTTTTTAATCAAGATTTAAATTTTTGATCGTTGACACTACATCTATTCGCTGACAGCTCGCTTCCATACAAAGTCCCACCTAGGGGCGCTAAGATGGTGATTTTTGCTAATGCAATCATACTTATTTTAAATAGTTACAGTTAGAGTCGGTGTATAATGAGTCACGTCAAGAGTGAAGCCAAGTCTACCTATTGAACTGTCAAACCGGCTACCTATCGTGCATAGTAAACAAGCATTACGATGCTATGAAAGGTCCACGAAAGGTGTTGCAATTAAATATAAAATATAATCGAAGAAATGATCAGTAATGACAATTTCTACTATTTTTCTTTAAGATAATTCGACAAAATCACTGATATAATGATTTACTACAGTCGTTACTTTTTTTCCTCGCTAGAAGTCATTTGAAGTTGATGCAGAAGTCTTCTGTTGCCAAGTGGAAAGAAAGAGAATCTTTCGAAAACCGTGATGCGAGTTCAATTGTTTTTCTCTTGGCGTGACTCGTTATACACCGACTCTAGTTACAGTGTACCAAAATTGATGAAATTTTGGATTTCGGTTTCATTTTTAATGCCGATAACGAATATGTATTTACCTCAATACCCCTAAACAACCCAATTAGGGAATCAAAGCAAAGTCAGACCCACAGTTACAAAAATAATAATGTACACGGCGAATGAGAACGACCCAAATTTGAGTTTAGTTCACTCATAATCGCCAAAAGAGCAGAACTCAGCGATGAGTAAATTTGTCTCATGGTTTCCTGTGGAAAACCTAAAAAACCTGCCGGAAAATGAGGAAATTGACGAAAATTTATTCAGTCTCGGAGTAGTACCAATAGAATGAGTGAATCCAATTTTTACTTTTCTCAAATTCGGGAATTTTTCCCTGGAAAATCCTGGAAAAACCTGGGAAAACATGAGGCAAATTTACTCATCGCTGAGTTCCTGCACTTTTGGCGATTATGAGTGAACTAAACTAAAATTTGGGTCGTTCTCATTCGGCGTGTACTTAAAAAATGCCATTCGATTTTAACAGACACCAAAACGTCATTACTCTTTTAAGCAGCTCGCCATATATGAGTCAATTGATGACCTGATTCTTCAGTTACGTTATTCATAATTAACATTTTTATGAAAGTGCTTAAAATATGAAGCGAAAATCTGTATTTCTGTACCAAAAATCTTCACATAACATGACTTCAAAATGTCGGCGGGAAAAAATATCTTCACAGAATTTCAAATGTCTTCAACATGAACAAATATCTTCAAACCTGGCAGCCCTGCGCCACACAGAGCTGTTTCTGATTAAACCAGGGGAACGACACATCCTCATCCCACATTGATTTGATCCTCAAATCCGCATTCTCATCCAAATCACAGTTCAGAATTTGGTTTTTCCATTCCAGACATCCGTTTTCTATTTTTATTCATCCCTGTCTATTTATTTGAAAGATATCTTGAGCATTCCTGTTGATGCTTCTATCTATTCCAATCTATTCTATTTTGATATAAAATGCATCGGAAAAAGTGTTGTTCTCTCTAGATTCAACTCTTGAATGAATTTTGACAGGAGGCGGTTATTTAACGGCTGCAAGAAACAACATCAATATCATCAAATTCTGTCAGGAGAACCAGCTTCTGTCATTTCGTAAATTGGGCTACACCATCAACAGACATAGCAGTACAGTCATAGAGGTAACTCTAAGACCACTGGGTCCCGAAGAAAATCATTATTATTTTTGGCTCACTCAGTACCAGAACAACGGTCCCAAGCAGTCCCAAGCTATTTCACTCACCCCTGCATGTTCTGCATGAATCCACACACCCCTGATGTTATCTGTCAAACTTTCATAGCGAATCAAAACAAACATAGTGTAGTAATAGAATTTCAACTAGAATAGGGTACGTTAATCGTTTGCTTGGGACCAATAGACTACTAAAAAGGTGAGCCAATTTAAAATCGTTAGTTTCGTATTGATTGTTGGTTGTACCATAGAGGTAACTCTAAGACCAGAAGGTCCCGAAGAAACGTGCTCAACTTTCTGACTCAGCTCTGGTACTATCTTCGGTCCCAAGCTAATCGATGCACTCCTCGAAGCATAGGAAAATCCACGAACCCCTCATTCTATCTATCAAACTTTCATAGCGAATCAAAACAAACATAGTGTAGTACTAGAATTTTGACTGGAATGGAGACCGTGAATCGATTTGCTTGGGACCAATAGGCTAGTCAAGTAGTGAGCCAATTTTAAATCGTTAGTTTCCAACCTGTGGCAGTACTGCGATAGTACAGTAGGGAAGGGACGAGGGGTGGCATACTCGCTCTTGTTTAGTATTATAGCGGTAAGCTACATCGTGGAAAATAAGCCAATCTCGAATTATCCTCAATTTTGCTATGCACCTTGCACCACCCTATGGTATTATGATAGAGGTAACTCTAAGACCATCCCTCGGTTCCGAAGAAACGTGCTCTACTTTTTGGCTCAGCTCTGGTACTCTCTTCGGTCCCAAGCTACTCGATGCACCCCTCGAAACCTAGGAAAATCCAGGAACCCCTTATTTTATCTGTCAAAGTTTCATAGATAATCAAAACAAACATAGTGTAGTACCAGAATGGGGGTACGTTCTTCGATGTAGTTGGGATCGATAAGCTAGTCCAGTGTGAGCCAATTTAAAATCGTTAGTTTACACCGGTTGGTATTATCCTCATTTCTAATCTCGGATACAACTTTAATACGCCGATTTCAGCGTATTAGCATAGAGGTAACTCTAAGACCACTGGGTCCCGAAGAAAATCATTATTATTTTTGGCTCACTCAGTACCAGAACAACGGTCCCAAGCAGTCCCAAGCTATTTCACTCACCCCTGCATGTTCTGCATGAATCCACACACCCCTGATGTTATCTGTCAAACTTTCATAGCGAATCAAAACAAACATAGTGTAGTAATAGAATTTCAACTACAAAAGGGTACGTTAATCGTTTGCTTGGGACCAATAGGCTACTAAAGTGGTGAGCCAATTTAAAACCGTTAGTTTCGTATTGATTGTTGGTATTAGAGAAAATCTCGGATTCGCAAAAAGAACGCTGCGAAAACAAAATCTGCTCTCATGGCTTTCACACGTACATA